TTAAAAAGATAAAAATAAATAAATTAATTAAATTAAAATGGGACCAGCAGTTAGCCTAATGGCTATGTCACTGGACTCCCATGTAGTCGACTGTGGTTCGAGTCCCAGACCTGGTGGCTTAAAACTCATGCTGGGTGCATGTGCGTGAGTGCCCAAGATCCTGAGAGGAGAATGGAGGAGAAGGGATTGTGGCGTGGCCATCCCCGTTGGGGGGGAATTTCTTGCTTTCTGTCTCTCTCTCTCTCTCTGTCTGTCTGGTGAGCGCACGTGCCCTATAGCAAAAACCTCTCCAAAAAAAAAAATACTCATGTTAAAGAAAAAAGAGTTCTGAGTGCTAAATAAATTTTCATGAGTTAAAACAGAGTCTGGCATGGTAAATGTGGTATAACACACACATACTCACAGATAATCTATACATAATAGATTATATATATATATATATATATTTTCTGTTAATATATAAATACAAAAACATTATAACTTCACCTAAAAATGTCTGGTTTCCTCTGAGGGCAGAAGTGAGATTTAGAGGGAGCAGATGTAAATGCCTTATTTTTCCTCAATCACTTGTAAAGCTTTAAAAAAAAAGGTGGCCAGCCGGTGGTGTGGTGGTTAAGGGCACTGGACTCCCATATGGCTGACTGAGGTTTGAGTCCTGGACCACGTGGCTTGCTTTCTCACTTTAGCTCTCTCTTTCTCACTTTGTCCCTCTCTGGTCAAATTAATACAATAAATACATAAATAAATAAGGTTAATTAAAATACTTAAAAAAATCCATACACCAAAATCTATATAGTTTGCCATTTGAAGAATTTTAAGAGAAAAAACCAAACTCTTTTGATATGGTCATTTATAGAATAGGTTGAACTTTCTGCTTATGCATAGTGATAAAAGAAGAAATTTATTGTATGGGGTACTATTTTCTTTTTCAAAAACAGCTTAAGCTAACAGTTTTCAAATGTCCTTGAAAGGAGGAGAGAGAAAGCTGAAAGGGAATGAATCTGAACTTTATTGATTAAGTGAGTTATACAGACATAGGTCTTTGGCTAATCTAAAGTAACGAGAGCTACACTGACTGCCTCTCAGAGAATAGTATAAGCCTGTAGGCCACAAAATATTACTCATATTTTAGTTGCAGGTCAAGAAATGATTTTTTGTTCCATTACAAAATAAAAGGCTTTAACAAATAATTTAAATCTCCTTCTTATATCCTAGTGGTTAAGTGTACAACTTGGAAGTTACATGGATTTGTGTTTCATCTCTACCAGTTTACTAAGCTTTGTGATTTTTTTTTTTTTTCATTTTCTAAGTCCCTGTTTCCTCATCTAAAAATGGGGGAAAGTAATGCTTAATCTCACAGGATTATTGGGAAACCATTTTGCAGTCTGAAATCCTTCCACAAGTAGTTACAATTAACACAATGAAACACCAAAATTTTCTATGTATCATTGCAATAGTGCTGAATCGGGCATGTTAACATATCCTCCCAGGATATATTACACTAAAAATAGAGGGCCAGGGGCCGGTAAGTGGCATGGTGGTTAAGGCGCTGGACTCACACATGGCCAACTGATGGTTTACTTTCTCTGTGTGTGTTTGGTGATTTGATGAGCACATGTGTCCTGTAGCAAATTTAAAAAATAATAGTAATAATAAATGAAATTAAATAGCTCTTTTATAAAAGAGCCAGCTTGTGACCTAGTGCTTAGGGGAGCTAGATCCCACGTGCTCAAATGTGCTGTTAGAGTTCCAGACCTGGTGGCCCGAAAAACATGCCCATTTTGTGCGAATTGGGTAGTACTGTTACTACTGATCTCTATTTTTCCTTTTTTTTTTTTTTTTTTTAAAGCCATGCAGCATATCTGCGAGAGAGAATGGGAGATCGACTCATTGGGAGGTCTTTTTCTTCTGTTCTCCATCCAGTCAGGAGCCTAGTCACATACATGTCTCTCATGTGATTTTCAAGGTGATGAGGGCAGAACTGGAACCCTGGCCATGTAGGATCAGGCTTCCTATGAAGTGCCTAGTTACTGTACTGTAGAGGGCATGTTCCCTGATTAGAGTATGTAAAATCTCTTTCCTCTGTGGTCTAGGAATGTTAGAAAATACAAACAATTTTCAGTAGAAAATAAAGCAAATGCCACATCATTAAAAATGGTTATATCACAAATTTGACACTCTTTTGATCTCTTTTCCACCTCTCCAGAGATTAAAATATGGCTTTATTATGGAAACATGCTTCAATTTTAGTATACATGCCATTGTGTTGAGTTCTGGGAGACTCTTGAGCTAATCTTTGCCGTTTCTGTGGTAATCCTGAATTAAGTAAAAAGATCTGAAATGGGAGAGTATGTCTCAAGACTGTTTAGTCTAAATGCCTCAGACGAAAGGAACAAATAGAAACTAGCATCAGAACGTTTCTACCATGGTATACTCACCACTCTGAAATTTCTTATACAAAGTAATGACAACTAGACACTTAAATCACCAAGCGTTTTATTGAACAGTTGTTGAAATTATATGAGCAGAAGTCTATAATCATTTAAATACAGTGGTAAGATAATTTTTAAATGTTTTTCTGAAGATGTGAGAATCTATACTTGAAAAGGTGTTGACTTTATGAAATTAGATGTATCTGAACTGTATCAAATGTTTTTAATACAAAATATACAAATGAATATGTTTTAAATATAATTGCTAGTTTATGTTTCTGTTCAAATATAATTTTGTAAAGGAGTTATAATTTATCCAGAAAGTTATTAAAAAATTTCCCAGTGATATCTAATTTAAACAATGAGGTAAGGCATCTTCCAAAATATCTTTGGTTTGTGTGTAAATTTAATCACAGTGCCTTATATAAACACCTTCTATCCCAAAAGACACATTTAATAAGTTCTGAAAGGGAGACAAACCCCTGATTTTATCAGATTTTCTACTTCAGATTTTTTTTAATTGGCAGAAGGTATGTGTGTTTTTTAGAGAGAGGGGGAAAGAGAAAGCACCCCTGAGTGGGGTGTGTCACACTACAATCTGTTTCCTCCGTTTCTCTTTCCCATCAGGATTTTAGATATGCACACACCTGTGCCTGACCTATTTCCAAGTTTCTGGGGTTGGGATTTGAACCACAGTTGGCCACGTCGAGTCCAACTCCCAGTGTACTGTGCTTAACTACTGTACTATGGGCCATCCTTCAAATTCTTCACATAATAAGTGTAATCTTTTATTTTAACAACAACAACAAAAAAGAATTAAGGATAGGGGCCAGGCAGTGGCATAGTGGTAACACAACTGGACTCACATGGAGAAGGTTCTGGGTTCATGTTCCAGGAGCTCCCAAACTTGTCATTCTGTGATCTAGCCTGTCTGAGACTGGGGATGGATCACTGTGTTAAGATCCTGTTTTTGGTCCCTGTCTCTCTCATGGAAGAAATAGATAAGTATATTTAAAAACAAATTAAAAAAGGGTTCATTCATTTTTATTTGTTTCCATGACAGAGAGGGGCAGGCATCTCCAACAGCATTCTACCTGTGATCCACACCCCAATCTCAGCCAGCCCAGATTTCAGGCACGTATGCATGTGGCTGGTGTGTTCAGAGGTACAAGGACATGAACCCAGGACCATCCCTGTGTGTGTGATCCAGTTGCATGACTGCTGTGCTACTACATAGTCTCTGAGATTTTATTACATGTCTCACCATCACAGGTTGAACAGTGCCAACACAAAGCCTATCAGAATCATGAGTAATCATCTGTTAGATATAGATATATTGTATTAGATTATATACAAATCCTGCTTTGGATTTCATTGGCATAACTATTTTAGATATTCACTTCTTTTTTTTTTTTTTTTTTTTTTGCTATGGGCTGAGTGGTTCACTGGAGAGACCAAGCGAGACAGAGGGACAGAAAGTGAGAAATCACCCCTTGGGGGGGGGATGGCCATGCCACAATCCCTTCTTCAATCTTCATTCAGGATTTTGGATGGACACACACACACACACACACACACACACACACACACACATAAATATGCCGGGACTGAGTTGCAAGCTGCTGAGTTTGGGACTCAAACCAGTTGACCATTAACCACTACGCCACCTGCTGGCCCCTTACATGTTAACTTTAAGTGGACCTTTTAAGGAACTATCTATACAAAATAATCAAGGATGTAAAGCAGAACTTCAAAGGAAATAAAATATTGGCTTCTTATGATGAGACAATTCAGAAATTAACATTTCTTTTTAAAAATAAAGTGAACTACAATTTCTAGTTTATGTTGTCGTTTACAACTTTTTTTAAAAAGTTATTTTATTGAACTTTATTTATTTATTTATTTATTTATAATTTGATGAGAGAGGGACAGAGAGGGAGAGAGAAAGTGAGCAGGTAAGCTGCCAGTCTGGGACTTGAACTGTGGTCTGCCATGTGGGAGTCCAGCACCCTTAACCACCATGCCACCTGCTGGCCCCCGTCTTTTACAACTTTAAATGAATATTACTCATAAAATTTAAGAAAGTGTACTCTCATAAACATTAAAGCCCATTGTAGACTAGTAGTAATTAATAGCTTAGTCTTTGTGTAAATAATCAATTAACTAATTATTTTCTCCTATTTTACAAAGTCAAATGGTCAATGCAATTGAGTTCAGATTTAACACTTTAAAAATCACTTAATCATATACAGAGTTATTATTTTTGGAGAATTATAGGAGTATGAAAGAAATAAATTCTTGCACTTTTACCATTAATTTTAAGATACTACAAATTATTTTTCTTTTTAACTCATTTAATAATATGCAAAAAAAAGGCAAAATTTTTGTCATGCAGACAAATAATTATATTTCAGACTGGCATAACTTTTGAATTTGTTATTTTCCTATCAAAAGAAACCATGAAGAGAATCTTGTGAAAGGAATAAACAATTCCCAGGTACTTTCAAATGATTCCTGTTTGTACAGAAACTTCTAAGCAATCACACCGTTGCCATAATGAAGTTCCACTGGGTGGCTAGGTATCTTTTCTTTGTTCCTCTTCTTCTGGCAGACCTGGTGAGGTCAGTTACAGAGTTCTATAAAGGGGAGGCAAAGAAGAAGCAAACACATTATAACAAAAAGTACTATCCAGTAGAACAATTTACCCATTCTTATTTTTTTAAATATACAATAAGTTATGAATATATTCTATTATTTTTCAGTTGTAAAAGCAACAATATATATTCTTACTTTCAACATAAATATAGCACTTATATTTCTTCAGAAGTTCAAATTCAAGCTATTAAAGAGGTTTTTACATTAAATTATCTTTCAGCTAATAATCTGGGTCTGGTGGTTTGAAAATCATACATGACATGTATGTGTGCATGCCAAAATCCAGATAGGAAGGAGAAATGGAGGAGATGGGATTGTGAGGTGACCACACCTCATTGGGAGGGGCTCTCTCTCTCTCTCTCTCTCTGGTGAGCTCATATGCTTCCTTGCAATAATAAATAAGTAAATAAATAAATAAATGATTTATAATTAAAAAAAGAAAGACAAATAACAAAAATTTAAAATATGAGCAAAATATTTGAATAGCCATTTTTTCAAAGGTAGACAGATGACCATTCTACACGAAAAAAAGTTCTCAACATCATTAGTCACTAGCTAAACATAATCAAAACCACAATAAGTCATCACTTTACACAGAATGTAGAGAAATTGGAGCCCACATCCACTGCTGGTGGGAATATGAAATGGTGCAACCATAGTGGAAAACAGTTGGGCAGCTTCTCAACAAGTTAAACATACAATGAAAATATAACTCAGTAATTCTGCTTCTTCAATTCTGAAAGAATTGAAAACATATGTTCTAATAAAAACTTGTACACAGGCCGGCAGGTGGTGTGGTGGTTAAGGGTGCTGGACTCCTGCATACTTACCGCAGTTCGAGTCCCAGACCTGTTTATTTAGCACTTGCTGTGTGCCGAGTATTGTTATGATAGGGTAAGGACCATAACTAGTTCCATTTCACAGATCTGGAATAGAAGGAGGCTTTGAGAGGAAAAGTAACTTAGCAATGCTCACCAGAGTGAACTATGTGGTGGGAGCCTGAATCTGGGAGGTCTGAATACAGTCTTTTTTTTTTTTTTTTTTTTGAGAGGTTTTTTTGCTATAGGGTGCGTGCGCTCGCCAGACAGACAGAGACATAGAGACAGAAAGCGAGAAATCACCCCCCAGGGGGGATGGTCACGCCGCAATCCCTTCTCCTCCATTCTCCTCTCGGGATCTTGGGCACGTATGCACATGCGCCCACGCGCCCACGTGCCCACCGTGAGTTTTAAGCCACCGGGTCCGGACGCAAACCACGGTCGACTACATGGGAATCCAGCGACATAGCCATTATGCTAACTGCTGGTTCCCTGGAGGGGTGCATTTTGAAAGGTGTCCTTTGTCAAATTATGTGAGTTCTGTGTTTTGGAGGCTATGGGGACAGTAAAGGATTTTAATTAAGATGTGACTTGACTGAATTTACAGTTTAGAAGATCAGACAGTAAAAGAAAAACATGGACTCGCCAGAACCCAAACTGGAGGCTTGAATGAGCAGTTAAGATGTTGGGAGAGAAAGCAGGAACTAAGATTATAGCAATAAAAGTGCAAAAGAAGGCGCAGACTCAAGAACTATTTCAAGGCAGAAATGACAAGCCTGAGAAACAACTAGATGTGAATGGGGCACTGTGCTCAGAAATTTACATTTAGTGAGACAGCAGTGAATAGCAGAAATAAACTTGAGGTTCCTAAAGGATAGCCACTTTCTCAAGAAATTTGCCTGTGAAGCAAAGAGCATGAACTGGTCACTAGAGAGCACTATGGGGTCAGTGGAGAACCTGCCTTCTTTCTTTTCTTCCCCCCTAATTCCTGCTCTCCTTTCCTTCCTTCTTTCTTTCTTCGAAATAGACCAGTTGTGACATATTGAACATTACAGGGGACAAAGAGAATTGCTGGGATCAAGGTTCCTGGGGCCTAGTGAGATTAATTATACCCAAGAAGCATCTTAGAGATGTAGAAAAGGAAAGGGAAGCATTGCAGGTATAGATGTTTGTAACTGGAGGATGGGGTTGGATTCGGAGGCTTAGTTATCTCCATTTTCCCCACGATGTAAGAGGAGTAACTACTTGCTGTAAATTAGAAGAGGAGATTAAAAGTGTAAGGAAATGAGAAGTGATTGAAGGTTTGAAACATAGCTGAATGGGGGATCAGAGGTGCCTACAAATGAGCAGAAGAGTTTTCTATCCAGAGAGCCCTGTGGAAGTTAGAGATAAAGTGCTCCCAGATTCTATGCTAAAGGCAGAGCTGGGTTTCAGTCAAGCCCAAGAAGTAGAGAGAATAGAGTGAGAAGGACCAGGACAATAGGACAATGGCAGAAAGAGT